ACAATTATCACTCGGTTTAATTTAATATATTCACATTCCAAACTTAAAAACTAAGTTTAACGAATTTCCACCCGGACACCAAAACGGGACGTACCAAACCAGAGTGGTTGTCGCAGTCAAACCGGTCCGGGTGGAAAAGTGGGTGAAAGGTTCAGCAGGTTAGAGTGACAGCAGCTCACTAACACCGCTCACACTCTCTCTCACTCTCTCACGCACACACTCACACGTTCACCGGGAGCAGGTGAGCTGGGGTTTGTTCTTTCATTGTCTGTTCGTCGTGTGTTTCCTCTCGCTGTCGTTTTTATTGTCTTGTGGGGTTTTTTCCTGCAGCAGAGCGGAAAGTAAAAATGTCTGAACAGCCGCAGGCGATCAGCCCGCTGAAGAACTTCTTCGCGGGGGGGTTCGGAGGAGTCTGCCTGGTGTTCGCTGGACATCCGCTGGACACCATCAAAGTAAAGACACCGTGTTCCCTACGTGAAGCGTGGGGCAGAGACACACATGTTCCCGGGCAGAGTCAGTCAGCAGTGTGGATCTGACCTGCTGCTGTATTATATATTAGAGTGTGTGTGTGTGTGTGTGTGTGTGTGTGTGTGTGTGTGTGTGTGTGTGTGTGTGTGTGTGTGTGCTCTCACCCTTTGACCCACATACACTCTGGTTTATTACGCAGCTCAGTGCACAGACCTCAGATTAACACAGCACTGCATCAACACACCTACAGTAACTAGATCAATGCTCCTGATCAGAGACACTGCAGCTGTTACTTTATTCCAGATATCAGCAACGATATCGATGATTATTTCAATGCAATCTTCATCTATAGCAATATTACAAAAGTCCAATATACATGTATATCGATATATTGCTTATGTACTGTGCAAGTATAGTGAGGAGGTGTAACACATGGTTGGTCTCGCTCCCATTTTATAAAATGTTTAGTTGTTTATCAAGAGTTTAAGACTCCAAATCGCACAAGCAACAAATGTTCTCATAAGTTATTATAATGTCACAACAATCATCCACATGGACTGATATGATTTGTATTGTTGTGTTTTGGTCGTATCACTCTTTGGAAGCTGCAACACATGAACACATTTATTATTGTCAGGTGACGTGTATCTTCTTACAAATTGTGTCAAATTTACCGCCGGAGGACTGAGGTGTAGAAACATCTCAGGGAAAATGAAGCCACCTGAACCACGGTTCAGGTTTGGATACTTATGACAATGTGATATTTTAGTTTTTCCTTTTTAATTATTTAAAATTTGACTCCAGTTTGACTCAGTAAACTTAGCAAAATTATGAAATATATACATTTTTTACTTAGTCAGAAAGCTTAATTGAGTCGGTCCGGCTTAACTATATTGTGAAGGTGCTTGATGAGGTTGAGGTCAGAGTAGTTAAGTTCTTCCACCTTTAACTCTGACAACCATTTCTTGTGAGGGCCACTTACATATTTTATCCTTTAAGTGTGGGGAAAAACATCTTTCTCTCTTTCTTTCTTTGTCAGGTGCGTTTACAAACTCAGGCCAAACCCAAACCTGGAGAGAGCCTCATATATGCTGGAACTATCGACTGTTTCAAAAAGACCTTGGCCAAAGAGGTGAGGGTGCATGCTGCTTTACTCAAAACAAAAATATATTCAAATCTTCTTTCCTCCCTCATACTTCTCTTTCCTTCTCCCCTCACAGGGAGTGAAAGGGCTTTATAAAGGCATGACAGCCCCGATCATTGGAGTCGCACCCATGTTTGCCGTGTGTTTCTTTGGATTCGGTCTTGGCAAGAAACTACAACAGAGAACTCCAGATGAAATCCTCACGTAGGTGATGGATCTGTCGGTGGTGGCTGAATTGCTCAGTTAAATGTTTTCGTGACGAGTTTCTTCCACTCGTCCCCTGCAGGTATCCACAGCTGTTTGCTGCAGGGATGTTGTCCGGCGTGTTCACCACGGCCATCATGGCTCCCGGAGAGCGAATCAAATGCCTCCTACAGGTCAGAGATCACTGTGTGGGTTTGTAGAGATAAACAGGAACCAATCAGTGACCCTGATGGCATTTCAACACTGTGTGTGTGGGTGCGTGCGCGTGTTACAGATCCAGGCGGCAACTGGTGAGGTGAAGTATGCTGGACCCATGGACTGTGTCAAACAGCTGTACAGAGAGTTTGGGATCAGAGGAGTCTACAAAGGCACAGTTCTGACTCTCATGAGAGGTGCGTCTTCACTCCAATAGATCCTGAGTCTGCAAACGTCACAACTTGTATTTAAGTTGGTGGAATAGTGTTTGTCCGGCTTTGTTCATGCTTTGCTGAGTATTTAAAGTGGGTGGATAGAATAATGATAAATTACACCTCATTGGAAAAGGACTTTTTTAAAAGTTACCTGTAAATGAACAAAATATACATTTACATTTGATGCTGCTCATTAAAACACACTTTGAAGCCATTTTTAAAGTATTTCAAATAATCACCATCTTCACTATCACATTGTACTGCTGCGCTACAATCACCTTCAGATCTGTGGAATAGTGGGACACAATCAGGAACGTGAAACATGTCGCATGCAAACTTGTTTAAGCACAAAAACAAACATTACTCATTTATTTATCCAACTTCTATCCCAACAAAGTTCTTTACAAGGAACAAATGACCCCAGAATAGAACACGAGCATATATA